AACCACTGAGCCACCCCTCCAATCCCTCCAACTATCGTTCTTTTATGGCTAAATGCGTCATAAATGTTTATCTGGACATTTTTCTTCAGAATTACTAGATCTTGCTTTATTTTCACAGTCTTTTATATCTACTTCCAGTGACTGCATGGAGCAGGATATTGGATAAGCTCCTCAGGAAGTTTTGTCTCATGTTATGACATCAATTTAATATCCACGCTGAGCTTATCTCTACAGATGAATTGTAAGGGAAGACTGCACCTTAGCAGAAGAGTCAGCTACAGTCGTGTATGGCGTGTTGTAGACTACTGAGTAGGGGCGATCTCCATTTAGCGCCTGTGAGTCCCAGTTAGTTCATCAATAAAATGAAGCAATAACGCCCGTCTCTGGATATCAGCATGGGCATTAAACAACCCCCAGGCCAAGTAGGAAGCAATACTTAAAGAGTCACCACCACAGTTCCTAGAAATGGAACGGCACTTAGGGCCATCCCTCCTAAGGGACACCACAAGAGATCTCAACATTTTAGGGTAATGCAAGCTGTGAAGGAGTATATGGGTCCTGTCCTGTGGGTCACACCTGAGAAAAGGCCATTAGCCGGAAGTGCCTTCCAGCCTTGGTTGGGATTGGAAGTCCAGCTGAAGCTCAGGTATTAGTAAAAATATAGTTTACATGAACAAACTCCCCTTCCTTGGCAAGGGACAGACATATTCTCTCTCTCTCTCTCTCTCTCTCTCTCTCTCTCTCTCTCTCTCTCTCTCTCTCTCCCTCTCTCCGCCTCTTTCCCCCTTCCTCCCTCCCTCCCTCTCTCCCTTTCTTCCCCCTCTCCCTCCCTCTCTCTCCTATGAATTTTTACTGCAAAATGCAGAAGCAATGTCTCATATGCTCCCTGAATGTAAAGGCCATTCTTGTTGGGCCATTCTTCTCTTTATCATTCCGTCATTTGAGAAGAGGCTGAGATCTGGGAAGTCATATTCCTGTAGATCAGAGCCTGCCAGAAACTCTAGACACAAAGCCTGGCTTCTTTCCTAATGGTTATAGACCCCTGGGGAAGCACACCAGAAGTTCAGCTGTTGCCAGTTAAACGTAGGCTCTGGCTCCGGCCACTGCTTAAGTACCTTTGGTCTAAGTTCCTAATTGTACAGTGTCCTGAGTAGAAGCAGCAGCAGGAGACAATGAGATGTTCATCTGGTCCATGTGTTTTGCTGGTTCTCACAGGGCATATTCCGAAACAAGGATTCATCATATTGCATCACGTGATATCATGCATGTCCCCCCAAAGGACATAAATGGTATCAATGCATAAGTGAAGCCCAGGTAGAATCCTAAGACTAGAGGACTCCTGGTTCACAACACTGAAACTCAGGCAAGGATATGTAATTGACCTTGGCCTGCATATGCCAGTTTAAATATATTACTTAAGCATTACAACTGGAGAGAATATTTTTAATTATAATTTTTAGGAAAGTAGCATGTCAGTAAACTATTTTACAGTCTTCTAGAGTAAAAATGTATAGCCATCTTAAAATTGGTCTTCTTTAGCAGAAAATAGGTGTGCTTTTTTTGTTATCGCTGTGAAAGTGAAAGCCCTAGAAAACGCTTGCTATGGTTTGAGGTGCCTCTTCCAAAACTCAAGTGTTGCCATGGTGATAGCATTAGGCTGTTAAGAGCTGATCAGGCCATGAAGATTCCTCTTTGGAGGACGTGTTACATGTTTTTCTAGAGGATTGCCAGTGTGGCCCTGGCTCCACTGCCCTTCTCCTTTCCCCCACGTTGGGTCCCAGCGAGAAATTCACATGAGGGCAAATGTTGGTGTCCAGATCTGGTACCTTTTGGCTTCCAGAACTGTGGGTAATAAATGTCTGTGCTTTACAAATGACTCAGTCTCAGCTATTCTCCTACAGCACCAGAACCAAACTAAGACACCTGTAAATCACACATAGCATGTGAAGTTTGACTGGAAAGTCTGTACTGGGACACTCACTGCTGCCATGTCACGGATCCGGAGTGCTTTTTCAAGATTTATCTGGTTTAGTTTTAGTTATTTGTATATGTGTGTCTGTGTGTGGGGAGATGCAGGTGCCCATATCGGCCAGGAGGTGACATTAAGGAAGTTGTGAGCCTCCTAATGTGGGTGTTGGAAACCAAATTTGGGTCCTCAGCAAGAGCAGTGTACATTCTTTAACTGCTAGCCCACCTCTCCAGTCCCTGACCTAGGAGTATGGAGATTCACTTCCGTGGTGGGTTTACATAAGTGTGTTGGGGGTGCAACTCCCTATCAGCATGTCCTTGACTCATTGAACTCAGTGTAAGAAGATCACGTCTCTTTCAACATACACTTTTACATAGACTATGAAATGCTTGTTGTCCTTCAAAGGGCCTCAACTTATATATAAAATAACTTGCTTTGGGTGAGGATGTAGGTAAGCGTCCTTTTGAAGGAACGAGAAATGTTAACTGACAGCAAAATTCTCCTGGCATTTATTATGTCTAAAATCAGTTTTCGTCTCAGAACCTACTCAACACTGCACCTACAAGGTCAGACCTAACCCAACAACACAGCCCTGGCTCTCCAAGTGTGAACTCCTAGGTTTAGGCCTCAGTATGAAAAATTCAACTAAAGAGACTACATTAAAATGACAGCTACATATAAAGCACATACTTTATGATCAATATCATATCAAACTCATTAAATGTGGATGTCACAGATTTATCTAATAAGTGTAATCTTTCATTTTAGTGAAATAAAAGAGTAGATAATACAGAAGTGACATTTAAAGTAAAAAACTTAAAACCTAAGTAAGATTATTGCTGTTTTTTTCCTTTTAATATTCTTAGCTTGCCAAGAGTATATATTGATGTAGACAAATCTATTGGGTAAGAACATGGGTTGTATATCATAGACATACCCATGTCTAGAAAATGGACCTTGTTATGTGTGGCTTACACTAGGTATGTGATCACATCTCAGAACTGTGATTTAAGCACCACAGCATATCTATGCTGTCTTGAGAATTCAACTGAATCTGTTTTCTCATTAGCTTGAGACAACATGGGTGGCAACATTTTGGTCATGCCTCAAACATTGGATCTTTCTATTTCATATTTTTTTTTCTGTAGAATATCCAAGACATGACCTGTTATAAAGCAAATACATGGGGGTGAGTTTCCCTCTGCATAATCATCTCAACTTAGATGCTCACATATATAACCCTAGGTGCAGGAGAAGTGTTCTTACCACTTAAGACAAACTGCAGTTATGTTATCTGCTTCTTCCACCTTTTTTAACCTTTAAGAATGCAAGGTCAAAAACCTGCAGGGAGATGTACTGACTGTCCATGAGGATATGTCTGCACAGACTGACATTCTGGATGCTGTTCACTGCGTTTTTATTTTCTACATGAAATTTACATTCACTGCCTTTGTGCTCTTTACATGTTCAGCACTGGGAAGGGGATGTCCTCAATTCATGGTATTTTTCAAACCATTTTCAAGAGATATGGAAGAGAGCTTCCTTTTTATAATCAAAGATCTAGCACTACAAAGCCGAAGGGTCTAAGTCTGTGGTTCTCAAACTTTCTAGTCTATGACCCTTTAATAAAGTTCCTTATGTTGGGAGCCGGGCGGTGGTGGCGCACGCCTTTAATCCCAGCACTCGGGAGGCAGAGGCAGGCGGATCTCTGTGAGTTCGAGGCCAGCCTGGGCTACCAAGTGAGTTCCAGGAAAGGCGCAAAGCTACACAGAGAAACCCTGTCTCGAAAAACAAAAAACAAAAAACAAAAAAAAAAAAAAAAAAAAAAAAAAAAAAAAATAAAGTTCCTTATGTTGTGCTGACTCCCAACCATAAAATTATTTTCATTGCTACTGTACAACTATAATATTGCTACTATTATGAATGATAAGGTAAATATCTGATATGTAGGACATCTCATATGTGACCCCATCTTTTGACCCCCAAAGGGATCTCAACCCAGAGGTTGAGAACCACTGGTCAAAGCTAACCTTCATTGGGAGCACTGAATGCCTAGAAGCAATGACGTCCACACAGGATCCTTTGTGTGAAGGACTCACCAGCCATAGGAACATTTGGGAAGGATGCTGACCTTCCAAGTTTTACTCTGCTCCATTTCCTTAAAAGCTGAGGGACAGGCTTCATTAGCACACAGTTTAGATAGGGAAGGGGCAGTTTCTGGAAGTTGCATTGGCAACTCAGAAACCTGAGACATGTCTAATATATCCAGGGAAAGTAAGGCCCCTGCCTTGCAGAAGTGCTTAGAACCAGCAAGCAGAAATCCACAGCTGGGTGACACAAAGTGACAACTGCCCCCGTACTTTCGAGTTACTAGCTACTGGTCATATGCTAGAACACAAGAAAGAAGACAGAAATAAAGGAAAATGGGTTTCTCTGCTCGAGGATCCAAGCAGACACACTGAGCACACAGTGAGATTTGCTTTTCTTGGATTCAGGGTCTGGCTGTAAATACGGGCCAGTTTTTCTTCATTCCTTGGGGTCCCATCTGGGAATGCACACAAGGCCACTTCTTTCAGGCCTTCCAATGACCCTGACCAAGGTCTATGAATCTGCTCCACGTGGGTCCACGGTAATATCCTTTAACTCATTCTTCAAACCTCTGCTTATGTCAGCTTCTGGAGTTACAGCCCCCAAGGGAAATGAATGAGTGTGGAAGTTCACATTTTATTAGTGTAACAGGGACCAGAGTCCACACCAAATTCTGTACAAAAATAAATAAATAAAAAAAAATTGTAAAGGCTAGGATCTTATGCTGAGCAGTGCTGTTGAATCTTAAGTATTTCAAATCAATGTAAAGCGGGTGAGAGCATCCTATGTGGCCCTCCTGCAGGCCAGGAATAGAACAACTTTAGGAAACACAAACGTGGGTTTGTGTTGGGTTTGCAACAGTGGATCCACCCGGAAAGGCGAGCCACAGAGGACTGCCTCCTAAGGACACTACTTTTGGAAGTTGGATGGGCTGGACACATACCGGACAGGTGGAGATGCTCTGCTCCCACTGAGTCATGCTCAGACTCTCCTCCAGGCTCGTGCACTTCTTCATCACCACATCCCAGCCACAGTAAGGGTCCTGGGCACCAATGCAGGCACTGAAAGCAGACATGGAAACACGCTGACTGTGCAGGTCACATACTGTAGGAAAATACTATACCACAGGATGTTCCTGGGAAGAAGGCGATCTTTCAAGTGTGACCTATGAAGCAGACCTAGGTGAGGTGGGGGCTCAGGGCAGGACTGAAAGCCCCCTGCTTCCTGCTTGGACATTACCTGGCTGTGACAGGCTGACTGGAACTGGGAGTGACCTGGTACTGAACTAGCTCAGTGCATTTCTGCTTGTAGCTCCCAAGAGAGGCCAAGGAGTCGTTTCTCACTGATAGAACAACACACCAAGTACGCCCCTCACCTTGGGATTTGCTCTGCCTGTGGCCTCACTTGCACCATCGTGGGTGACTGTAGCACAGCTACATTTAGAGAACCATCCAAAGGGCTCAAGTTCCTTTTCCTGTTCTTCTATTAAATAACATGACCACTAGGTAAAAACCACTTTCCCAAAGGGGAGAAGTTTGACAGACTTCCTCTTGTGCTCAGGATCCTCCTTGCCTGCAAAGCCCACATGGAGACCTGAAGCAGGGCTTCTGCCCTAGAGTGAAGGGTTTGGACTCCGAAACTCTGCCTGTAATAACAGCTGTTTTTCTACCATGCTGAGGGCTCTGGTTGTTTCTAACATTCCATAACTCTTTAAATATTACAACTGCTATCCAAACACAAATGCCCATTCAATAGAAAGCCCACATACTTATAATTTCCTCCCGTTCTACTCTACGCCAACCACTATGACTTATTATTTTTGGAAGTTGGGTCTTTTAAAGAGACCATATGGAAAAGGCAAGTTTCTGATAGATGTAGCTATAGTAAAAGTGGCATTTCCTTTTTAAATTTTCATTTCTTTACTCTAAAACTCAATAAGAATGCAAGAAAGAATAAAGATTTTTAAAAAATCCAATGAGTTTGAGGTACTTGATCGGAAAAAGTCACATCAACATTGTGAAGAACTTGGGGAAAACCAATTATTAGTATGATTTTATTTGGTCTCTTGACAATAATTTTGCCCCTTAGATTTAAATATCTGCTATTCTAAAACAAAAACATTAACATTTAATATACTACACCATAATTACCAAGTGTAGAATTGTTCCTGGGCCAAGGAAACTACAGCAGCAGGATTTAAAAAATGATTCTGTCAGTTATGAAAATAGCATCCTACTGTTGAACACACACAAAATTACTTCCCCCAAATCTTTATTCTTTCTTGCTACAATAGAAAAGACAGAAGGTTTTGGCAAAGCCTCACTTGGGAGGTGCTCAGGTGGGCAGGATACCAAAACTTGAAGCAACAGAAGCTCATCTCCAAAGCCTGAGGACCAAATCAAGAACCTTTGAGGCCCCTTAAAAACCGAGGCTACCCTGTAACTATTGCACACTTCAAAGGGCAAACAAAACACCGAGAAGAAAGCACATTTCTTGCACACATCTGAGTCTCTTTATTTTCTCAGAAAGATAAAGCGCTTGGTGAAGAATGTGTTGTACAGAGCAGAATCTGGTACAATAGGTACAGCTGTGAAAAAGTAATCTATGGATCTGTCAATTTGTCTTCAGTTTGGCTCAGACTGCCCTAACTTATTGTATTTTATGTGACAGGTTGCCTGTATGTAGCCAAGGCTGATCTTGAATCTGATGGCCTACTGCCTCAGTATTCCAGTTCCCGGGACATTAGCAATCATGACAATGTCCAACTGGTATGGTTGGCTTTTAACTTACAAGTGGAACATGGGGAGGTTTTGAACCTAATTTTTGATGGAGTGTGCATGTAGTACAAAAGATTACTCATGGGCAATGCCATCCTAGAAGGACCTATATTAACCAGCAGCAACACTTCATCAGGAAAGAAAATTCTTATAATGTGCTAAACTATTATGTAACTTCAGTCTCTGCTATTGCTCTTCTGACCACAGACCCAGGGAGTCTGAGTTCTTGCTCACTGTCATATACTAATGGCTATCCAGGGTCCAAATGAATTCCAAGTTCATAATGTTTTTATAGGTAAGATGTTTTCATGGTAATGGTTCCATTCTTAAAACCATGAGATCAGTAAATTATATAGCAACAAAAATCTTAGGGGGAGCTCAGTCACCACTGTTATTGACAGTTTTGGAGCAGGTCTGGAGTCAAGGATGCTGCTGCAGCTTGGGTTTTTCATGGAACCATTTGCACAGCTATGAACCTGAATCTCAAAGAAGATCTGTGGAGTAGCTATTAAATAGGGATGCATATGCTTAGTAAGGTCTTTTAGCTGTATTTCTCCACTGACAAATAAAACTACCTAGCTGACTGGTTAGAACACACTGATTGCTTACATTTTCAATTGGACCAGCGTCTTGCTGTCTTTAAATATTCAACAGGAAGGAGAATCACAAACTGCTGGTGAGCTAAAGGAATGCTAAGGGAAACTCAGAGCCTATAGGAATCAATTTTATACTCAACATTGTAGAGTGTTTCTAGCACACTTGACTGTTCTTATAAACCTGTTTGCTACCCCCACCACCATAGCAGTAACATGATTACACTGAAATAGTTCACAAATAAGAGACGAAGAAGAAAAGCACTTGTGATCCAAACGTGTAGACATGAAAGCTTGGTACTATAGAAGATAAGTAGACCACAATGCCTCTATATGATGTTGTACATACATTTTCTTTGTTTATACAGTGCAGCTGTACCAATATTTGTTATTATTGCCAGAGGCAGATCTATCATGAAATGAAGGCTCACTTCATGAGACCCACTAAGGTGATCAGTCCTAGGGATTTTGAATGTATCACACTACATTATCTTTAGTGGGATGCCTATCAAATAGTGCATACTTCATACATATCCTGCCTGTGTTAAGCCTTTTTCTAATAATCACACAATGTACAATAAAGTAATGTACAATTATTAGCACTAGTCAAGGTCATAGAAGTTTTTGTTCTGTTTTCCAACACATTTTGAGAACTTCCTCTTTACTTGGCAAGGTTCATGGGGTATTACAATAATGCTAAAAGATGTTTTGTTCCAGCCTGAACCCACCTGGAATTCCTTCTACAGACAGCTTTGTAGGACGATACAAGCATGTGGGTACATATGATTTCTCTCCCTGCTCTTTATTTAGACAGTTACAATCATTGCAGGCATAGAGAAGTTGCCACAGTCACCATTTAATGACTTCAAAGTAACCCACTGAGTGAAAAATCCATTGAAGGTGTCTGTCATGTCTTGTTGCTTAGTTCTAGAGGCTGAGAATTAGAAAACCAGTTATAATTCAGACATGACTTAAAAATAATTGGAAATCAGGTGAGGGGATTAATTCCTAGCATGGTCTAGGATTGGGTTTAATGATAAATCCATTTTGGAATAAAATGTAATACAACCCCAACCACCTTTGACTCAGTTCTACATTAGATATTCAGATAAATTTATTTATGGCAGAATTTCTCATTAGACTCTGAGCCCTACACAGGCAGGGTCAGGGATGTATCATCTGTCATCATACACTTAGGGATTGGTTTCGTGTTTGGAATGCATTAAATGCTATAAATGCTTTGTGAATGAACTGATGAAAGAAATCCACAGACTCCACAGGCTGAGCGAAAGAATGCCACTGTAGTTAAAACTTCAGGACACTGAGATTTGGAAATCGATAAATTAATTGTAGAAGGAGAATATTTGCTTTGTAAAGTGAATGTTCATCAAAAGTCCCTCCTGGATGCTTGAATGATACGCAACCTGTTAACTGAAGGTGCATCCCTGAGACCATGGAAGATACTGGTTTCCCAGCACGAGTTATACTTTTCCATTGTGCACAGAGTGTCTTCAGAGAACATTTAATTAATAATGGTGACAACCTATTAAGTTTACCTTTGAAACATTGCCCTTTAAAAGCAATGAATGTACTACAGTACTTAATTTCCATACAAATATTCTTAATGAGGTATTAATTCCTTTAGCTTAATGACACTATTACACACTAACTGAATTAATAGTGACAAGATACAAGCTCTGCCCGGTGAAGCCCAAGACTTTTTCTTAATGATTCTACCTTTCTTTCTGGTTCTATCAAATTCAATTCTAGGAGTGTCCATTTCCCATTTCATATGTAGGCTATGTCTGTTCCTGGGGCAGCTTTTCTTTTCTCCCTAGTTATGTCATACAATGGAGGTACTGAAGGATCATGGGCCTCTACTCTTCTTGCTATTTGTATCACCGTGCCTTTCTATGTTTTCACAAAATGTTAAACCACTCCCCCTGCCCACTAGGTTATGAAAAGAGAGCAGAGAAGGCAGAAGCAGTACCCATGTGTTAATTCATCAAATATGTACTATGCATTCTTTTAAGGTGCATATAGTGCTGGAGGCCCAAGGAACCTGGAGCCAGAGACCAACCAGGCTTTAGGGCTCAAGCTTCTGCAGCAAGACAGAAACTATGTTGTGCTTAGTTCATGCTCTAGGAATGTAAGCATTGCTGCTTACACACACTGTCTTTGATTCAGATGGATCCCTCATACACAGAATGCAAGCTCTATGGCCTGGTGGACTAATCTTATCTTGCAAAATGCAAAGAGTGTCAAATAAAAAATAATACATGAGAGTTTCCAAAGTAAAGAAATTCTATGAGGTTCAGAAAATATTAGGTTTTGTATTTGCAACTTGATAATTTATTTAGTAAGTTTAATAACTTGTATTCACATATATGTAATAGAAATACATCCAGTCAAAAGACATAGCATTTTAACTCAGGATTTAGTGAATGAAAGTCTATAGGCCACATGTATCCCGCTGAGTTTTACTTAAGCACAACACACACAGGGATGTTTTTCACTCCAGTACGCTGATGACCATTCATAAGCCCATCCAAACCATGAGGTATGGCTCAGCAGCGACACACCTTCTTAAGCTTCAACAGAATGTCTCAATAGTTAGATCCTAGGATACAGTGGGTTTCCAGGAGTTGCTATATAGTCATCCCCTTCCTGCCTCCCTGCTCTGTGAATTCTAGGGCTGATCTCATGAAGTTGGGCCCCATCACTCTGCTCACCCCTCTGGGGCTCTGCAGAGGTACTGGCTTCCTGTCTTGCTTCACTTAAGCAACAGCTGCAGGTTCTTCAATGGCTTAGCTTCTCAGAGAACCCTCTGGATCAGCAGGCACCTTGGTTGTCCTGTATGTAGCATTGGCCCCGGCCCTTTATGCTTTGGTGTTTTTCTGTAGAATACTGCATCTAAGTGCTGATGTTCTTTTCTGGTCTTGATTGGTTATATAAGTCATAAACTGTCTGAATCCTAAGGCAGCTCATATATTTTACCTGTCTGTTCACTGTCAAGCTTTGCTCAGCCCATAGCCTTGGTAGGGCAGGGTGAAGCTCATTCCTTGCTACAGAAATTGTATACTTGGAGTATTTTCCTTCCTTTTGCAAAGAAAGTTTACTGAGCTGTAGATCTAGCCAGTGCACACTTCCTAAAACGCCTTTAACAGTATGTGTCCTCCCACTGAGCCCTCCTTTCCAAGCTTTCTTTTGCGGAGACTTCAAGAGCTGTAGCTATCTTAGGATGTGCAAGACTTCCAGAGGAAGGAGGGGATGAAAGGCTGACTTCTAGATATGGCTCTGAAAGCCCGACTCTTGTGGTCATCTCTGCTTCCTGGCATGGTGAAATGGGAACTTTCCAAGTCCAATGCCCAAGCTTATCAACTCTCTCAGTGCCAGGTTCCGATTTTACATTGGAATATAAGTCAGGCAGGGATTCAGTTATTGGCTTTTCTGTCAGTTCCATCCTGTGCTCTTTCTTCAGAGGTCACATAATGACGCTGGCAGTGTACACCAAGAGCAAAGTGCCCAGGAGGTGGCACTCATGAGGTACTGTCAAACACTGACTTACAGCTGGGATGTTAGATTTCCAGGTACATCAAAATCCAGCAAATATCAACTCATGCCATGAAATATATAAATATATGTGCTCAATCATTGTATAAAAAAAGGATATTTAAAGAGATGACACCAACTCCAGGGCTCTGGGTTTGGCTCCACCATCTGTATGATTATCTATGCTAATTATTAAACAGCAGCATCCAAACATGCTAACATTAAAACGAATATATTTACTCATGTTTGTAATGAAATTTGACTAAACAATAACTTTAAGGTATTTTTTTTTTTTTTGTAAAACAACTTCTAGAGAAATGCCTATGCTACCATGCTGTTTTTTGAGCTACAATGAAGAGGAGTCATAGACAGTGTTGACAGCCTCCCCCAAGGGTGTAGGATCACCCTGAGAAAAACTGCAGCAGATACTCAGCTTGGGGTGCTTGAGGAAGGTTCCATGCTGGTTCCATCTGCCATATGGCAAGCACAAAATGAGGAAGCTGATAGGCAGATATCATGCTTAGCAAGTTCCATGTTCCTGGTCCTATACAGTCTGTCTCGACTCCAGCAGCTCCACATGAGATCCGACTCTATCTGTGGGGACTGCTCTGTACCAAGAGCAAACCATCAGTTTTGCCAATAAATCATTAGCATAGATTTGGGGTGCATACAGGCTGGCCCTGATCTCAGTGTGTCACAGAAGGAGATATGTGACTTTAAGCAGGGCACTGACATCTAGACTTTCACACCTTTATCTAAACAATGAGAATGGAATGGTACTCTACTTTCAGAATTGGCTTAATAATCAAAGAAAATGTAATAGAAATATAAAAACTACTAAAATTGTATGAATTGTCTTTGGAAAGCAGTTAATCAATAAAAGAAAAAATATAAAGATTTTGTGATATACTTTTCCTCCTCAAAAGTGTCATATTTACATTTGAAGCACATTATTTACATAAGCTCACTTTCTCTTTTTAAATATTGTAAAATTTCACTTATAAAACTAATTTCCTAAAGCTAAAACCAAATTATTGATATTTTACTACAGAATGACATTTGACAACAAAATTATCACGCAACCCTGTTATTAGTCTATTCCTAATCACTGGGCTTCATTAAGTCCATTTCTAGACAATGAAAATTGTTTGTCTAAAAACATTCTCTTTTTCCTATAATTCATTCTAAACATCCAAGCAGGTAGTGTTTATGAAATAGAGTCTTCTTGTGAGTGTTAACTGGGGAGGCTCTCCCATCCTTCCACATGCAGAGGACACTTAGAGAAGCAGCACATTAGAAGACACACAGAGGGATGCTTGGTTTGCAGTCTTTAGAGTTTCCTTCTCAGATGGAACACTAAGGGCCAAACACAAGCCGACCGACTGCAGCACACAGAAGCCCAGTGTCTCTGCTCACAATGGAGCTGTGCTCTCTTGCCATTTCACTCTGAGCAAGGGAAAAATAAACAGAGGGGAGATTCAGCTATGAGAGAAACATGAGCGTCTCCTCTCCTGCGGGGGCTGATGAAGATACACATGTGGCCTTATTCTCCTCGAAGGAAGCAATAACTGCTTGCTTCTGGCATCTGCACCTGGTGGCTCCAGCCTCTGTGGATTCAAGACTGGGTTGATGGACCATAGTATGAAAGATAGTGGGTACCGTACCTCTCTTGGTAATAGGATTGTCTTAGTTAGGGTTTTTATTGCTGTTAAGAGAAACAATGACCATTGCAACTCTTGCAAAAAAAAATGCTTAATTGGGGTGCCTTGTTTACAGTTTCAGAGGGTCAGTCCATCATCATCATAGCAGGTAGCATGGTGGTATTCAGGCAGATGTAGCTGAGCATCCTACATCTTGCAGGCAACAGGAAGTCAACTGATACACTGGGCAGTATCCTGAGCACAGGAAACCTCAAAGCACACATCCACAGTGACACACTTCCTCCAACAAGACCATACCCGCTCCAACAAAGTGGCACGTCCTAATAGTGCCACTCCCCATGAGATTATGGGGTCCAATTATATTCAAACTGCCACAATGACCCATGATTTAGTTCAGTGAGCTGAACGGAGCTGAGGCGACCTAGACTCATTGAAGTGAGGTAGAGTGAAAGCAATGGATTTTGTCATGGTTGCAACTGCACTCCTGTTCAGTGCCAGAAACTTCTCACATAACACAGGCCCATGTTGTTCTGACAATTATCCTGTCTTGACCCGAACAAGTCCCCAGGAGAACTTGGCTCTGCCAGAGCAAGACTTGGCAAACTGCTATCCTTCCAGCCATACTTGGCTACAATATTGCTCTGGGCGATCCCCCAGATGTCCCTGTTATCCAGAGAATGATCAGCACCCAGAAAGTGGTGACATGTGCTTCAGACTAGACTTGCAGAAATATACACAGGAAGAAGTTTCAAACAGCCATTGGTAAACATTAGAAATCAGACATGTACAAAAGGGGGTTGCTGATAAATGTCACTATCCACTGATAACGTTTATAGTCAACTTACTCAATAAGAGTGCCCTATAGTATTAACTTTTATGATTCTGAGGAATGTCATGCAAATTTCATTTTATAGAATAATCCTGGATGGAACTTTGTAATAGTTATGCATAAAAAGAAAAAAAAACACCCTTCCTTTTACATAAGAACATGCCAAGAGCTTGTGATTTTACTATGTATATATTATCCCATTTGATTCTATAGAATGTCACACATGTGAGGTGAGACAGTAAGGCTGAAGTACTTTGGGAGTCAGGGTCAAAATTATAGATGACAGGCATGCTATGAATTTCCTGCCTTAGGCTCCCTGTATAGAAACAGAATGGCCTATGCATGGCAGAATCTTACAAGCAGTACAGTGAAAAATGTCGCCCCCACTTAAACCCTCAGGTATGCCTTGCTTAGGGGAACGGACATGAACAAGACTACCAAGCCTCTCTAGAGCAGAATTGTGTCAGAGGCCAGAATTCATTTCCAGTTCCCAAGACTGCAAACATTACAGTACTAGTCATGTTTAAGGAGTTCACAGTCCCCTTTCATTTCCTAAGCACCTAGGCTTACGGGTTTCCAAACTACACTTCAAAGTACACTGTGGTCAACTCTGGACACTCCTTAGAAAATAAGAGGCCAGAGCAGGGGGTGTGGAAAGTCCTGATGGCACTTGGCTCTCCCTGTACCTGCAAGATTTCCTTCCTGTCTCTAATGCCTACACGATGATGGAACCTTAGGAATAAACTGTAGCCAAGGCTGCTAGGAAGCAGGACAATATGCGGTAGATGATCTATGAAGATGAAACTTGGGACCAGCATCAGTGCTGCTTCTCAGTGGGCTCTAAGAAGAGCACGGGCCTCCTTTATCTCACATTCTCTCTCTCATCTCCTCCCTCTCCCCTCCCGTGTGTGTGTGTGTGTGTGTGTGTCTGTCTGTCTGTATTCAAATAAAATCTTAACTTATGCGGGGGCACTAAACTGTAGCATTGTCACTGAGAGTTAATATATACTGAAAAATTTATCTTCACACCTATAACTGCTCATACTTGTTACCTACGTGGCTCCTCCAATGACAACCAAGGGTTAGTGGCATCATAGTAACTCATTTCCATGAAGACCCTGTATCCTGGAACGTAAGATGCATATAGATGTAAATTCTGACTGCAGGAGATTGGAAAGTCTTCTCGGCAGGCACAGATGCCCTCACCCTGGGGATTCCTTACCTGCGTGTTTGGTGGAAGGGGCACCTCTTCAGGGGGATCTTGGCCACATGCTCCTGAAGCCCCACGAACAGGACACTCTGGCTGTGGAGGATCTGCAGGCTCCTGATGGGTTCCCGCCTCCTCTCTGGGAAAAGCTCAATTTCTTCCAGCAAACAGCTACCTGAGGTCTGACTCAGGGGAGCCCGTACTTTCTTAATGGTGCCGTAATCTGCAAAGACAAGAAGGGAAGGAAATAAAGCATGCAGGTAGCACAGTCATCCTTAGAGATGCAGAGTGTGCACATAGCACACAGCCATGATCACCAGCTCATGAAGTTAACCGAGTTAAAGTTGCATGGTTGCGTGCATTGAAATGAAGCAACTTTCAATAATGCAGAGGACTCTTCAATGGGCCACTCTGGACAAAGGGTTTAGGCAGTGGTGCTCTAGGCAGACAGCCATGAGAATGGCCGATCTACCACTCACCTCTTCAGTTGCAAGACCAGGAACTAGGGCCATGCTAAACTTCATTGCTGATCAAAACAGCTGCAGAATAACAGGGGAGAACAATCCCAACAGGACAATCGGGGGTTCTTGATGTCAGTGAGCTGACTGCTGCCCATGCACAGAAGATACAAAGTGACTTGTGATGTGAATATAAGGTCATTTCTGTGAGTTTGAACTTGACTCATGTCTGAACTGATCCAAGTCTTCTTGGCCACAGGTTCATGCATTTAATATTGCCCATGGTGAGGGTTCTCTGCATCATGGAGACTCTGCAGACAGGTTGTAAGGGATGCAGAGCAGGCTCCTTTTAGCTCCGTGGTTCTCAACCTTGTTAAAGCTGTGGCCCTTTAATACCGTTCCTCATAATTTTTGTTGCTACTTTCTAACTGTACTTTTGCTACTGTTATGATTTCTAATGTAAATATCTGATGTGCAGGATGTCTGGTATGTGACCCCTGTGAAAGGGTCATTCGACCTCCAATGGGGTTGTGACCCACAGGTTAAGAACTGATATTTAGCTCACCCATCAGGTGTTTAGTGGGGATGAATAACCCTTGTGTCAGGGAGATGAATTGGAGCTTGAAGGCCACTGTTGCTGGCCTGCAACATCCAGACATCTTGAAGCACTTCTAATAACTATCACTGATACATGTAGTTATCTCAAATGCAAAAACTGAATAAACCCATATGATTTCAAGTTTCAAATCATACTGATTCTTCTTCTATAAACACAGAACTAGCTTAAGAAGTTATTTTAAAAGCAGAAATAAAACCAGAAAGTGTTCACTTGAAGGAGCTTCAAACAAATAAGTAAAAAAGACTGAACAGAAAATACAATTTTTACCTTTATGGAAGTCCTTAGATAAAAAGACCATTTACATTTAAAGAGAAAACACATGTACACACATATTAGCTTGACTTTTCTTAAATGTAAACCTGAAATTCATCCAATGAACATTTTCTCAAAAAACTGGCTACATCATCACATATAAAATGTTAGTAACAACATTTTTACTTCAAACTAGCTGGTTACATATATTAGCTTTTGAAAAAAAAAATATCCACCATACATCGAAGACTGAAAGGAGTGTGTCTGTGTGCACTAGAAAATGGGCAACAGTGTCCATTCAGAAAATGATTGACTCATGAACATAAATATGAAAGACCATGTTGATAAAGCCTTTATTCTATAAGAAAACCTCTTTCTGATTTAGTGACTAGAGTTCATGGGCTTGTGAAAATTTTATCCAGCCTTGGTGATTTTTGGTTCACCCTGCACAGGACCATGGAAACCATCAGTAAACAGAGCGTGGAGGCCTAGGCAGGGCATGATGGGAGCTTCAGGGACAAGGGCTGACTTGAATCCAGATGTCTCAGTCACGAATCTCTGAGACTTCCAAAAGAAACTGGCAGGTGGACCTGTCGGCTTCCCGGGGAGGAACAGAGCCCTCTACTCTACTGTGGGATTTCACAGCAACAGTGAGAATGTCAGTTCAGACCAGGGGCTGGGAAGCCGCCATTGGCCACTCTTGGTTAAGTGGCGTGGGCAGAAGAGTAGGAAATCACTGGGTAAAGCAGGACCTTCTAACCAACCTCGGAGGCAACAGACAGGAGAGGGACACGGGAATATTTTGTGAATGTGGCACCCTAGCATGGTTTGCAGAACAGAGGTTTAAACTAGAACACATTCAACAGGTATCCATGACCCCTTTCTATTGATGATTTATTTTGTTTATAAATTAACACTGTGAGAGACCTGCCAAAATTAATAACACCTCTGGAGTCAACTTCACTGGTATTTAAAATTCTTACAAAATTGCAGAAAGAACCAAGTTTTAGTAGAGCTTTAATAATTTGATTTCGCCGGGCGGTGGTGGCGCACGCCTTTAATCCCAGCACTCGGGAGGCAGAGCCAGGTGGATCTCTGTGAGTTCGAAGCCAGCCTGGGCTACAGAGCGAGTTCCAGAAAAGGCACAAAGCTACACAGAGAAACCCTGTCTTGAAAAACCAAAAAAAAAATAAATAAATAAATTAAAAAATAATAAATAAATAATTTGATTCCAATAAGATAACGATGATGAAAATTATTCAGCACCTGTTTTTTTCACACCCTGTATCCAGTGCTCCAGCCAATGGGATGTTAGCATTTGACTGAAAAATAGTAAACAATGATTTAAATGTTGATCTACAACCCAGGCTTCTGCTGTCTCTCCTTATCTATGGGTATCCAGTGACATGATGAGTCCCCTGTGGAATTATCATTCCCTGGGTGTCAGGATTATTATAGGGGGATCCTGAGCCACACAACAAAAGCTTCATTCCATGTCCTTGCAGCCTTTTCCTATCCTGCCTGAGCCCCATCCTTGCTTTGCGCTCACCCACTCCCTGTCAGGGTCTTACTCTCTGAAAGTGACCTTGAAGACCACAGCACAACAGGTGAGAAGCCACGCCAGTTCCTCATACTGACCTTACTTGGAACTTTATTTTTGCCTCTTATGCATCCACTTTTCTTCATTTCCTGTACAGCATTATATTGACCTTATTTTATCTTTAGAAAACTTGCGTGCTTGGCTCTCATCCTGATGTTTATGCAATTTTGTTTTGACATTTCTCTTTACTATGTAGTCATTTTTACCCCTTGTTCTTTCTTACTTCATGACATTCCTCTCAGTCTCTTTGCATCCCAATCTCTTATTTGTGTGTCCCGTCCCCCCCACCCCACCCCCGCACTAACCTTGTCCTTTTTTTCACTGAATTACTAATTTTATTTTCTTGTTAAATCATGTTTTTATTAATTCATTGGGCATTTCATACAGTGTTTGATCATATTCACATCTCCTTCCCTAACTCCTCCCAGATCCACCCTCTTCATTCTCGTGTACTTACCTACCCAAATTTGAGTGTTCTTCTTTTATTTTTAAACACATTGAATATAATGTGTGTTGCCCAACTCCTCTTGGCAGTGGGGTATGGAGTATCTACAAGGGTTCACATCATTAAAGAAAACTGACTCTTTCTCTCTCCCAACAGCTGCTGAATACCAATAGCCCTTCAGCTAGTGGTGGAATTTTCTGCCATCTCTCTGTACAACCGCCATGCCAGGATTTTGTTTGACTTGAGCTTTCACAGGCCTTGGGTGTACTGTCTCAATTGCTGTGCATTCCTGAGGGCAACGCCCTGCTGTATCTGGAAAACACTATTTCCTTTGACTTATTTCTGGATCTTATGATCTAACATACTGTATATCATTCATGCTATTTTCTGTCCTCTGTTCAATCATGATACAGTAGCTGGCATTAAAAACCTTTTTGAATGATAATCCATAGGTTATCCAGACCCTAACCGTCCACTCCACAGACTCACACAACCACAACTTTGAAGAACACTGGGAGTTCTTAATGCATAAATCTTTCAAGCACATGGAAATGTAAGTATCTATAGTATTTTAACATAGTATATATAATAAATAAATATACATAGATATTATGTAAATAAAACTTTGAACCAAAAATAGATGTGGTTAGGTCTACATCATAGTTAAAATTGAAAGACCACAAAACAAAAAAAGAATATTAAAGCTGCAAGAAAAAGCCCCTAAATTTATGAGGACTAACCATCAGGATAGCATCAGACCTCTTAGCAGCAGCCCTAAGCACAAGCAAAGTTTGGAAGGATCAAGTCCAGGTTCTGAAAGAAAGTGAAGAACAACCAACTAGGATTATCACCTCCAACTATGCTGTCATCTGAAACTGACAAAGAATAACAACATGTCAAGAGAAGCACAAACTGAAGCAATTCATGGTCAACCTGGCCCCACAGAAGAAACTTAAAAGAATTCAGAGGAAGAAGAAAGTCTTAATCTTGGGACACAGGAAGAAATACATTTTGTAAGAATAATAATAAAAATAAATAAATCACAGCCAAATCAGCAAAATAGGAAAACTACATATATGAATGGAGAAGCAGCAAAACAATATATATTTGAATCAACCAGAGGAAAGAAACAATGAAATAAAAAAGAATCAGTCAACATTCTTTCAGTGATAACCCAGAATATAAATGATCTTGGCTTCTTAATTAAAATACACAGCCTAGCTGATTGGATAAAAAATGCCATCCAACTGTTTGTTGCCTGCAGTTCATTCTCTGCTCTATATTTCACAATATAGCACACACACACACACACACACACACGCACACGCACACGCACACGCACACACACACACACACGCGCACACACACACA